TCAGCCTTATTTTTGTATCAACAGAAGGTTTTTCCTCTCCTTTCTCCTTGTATTATCCCCCAAAATATTGGACATCTTTTACTTGAATACTTCCCCTTGTATTCTCCTTTTTTTCGTGGTTAAATGTCAACTTCTTCATCTCTAAAGTAAGACTAAAGGCGTATGTGTCGCAGTGAATGCAAATGTGCCTCCGCCCCCTCCGCAGAAACTTTGCTGCACCTCTCCAAAATTGTAGGTGACCGCAGACAGTGCCATAGACAGGAGGCCTCTGATTGGTCAGATCTACATCCGCTCTGCACTATGCGTATTTCCTGTTTGGTGCATCACCTTGTTTTATTTGTATGAACAACATTGTAGAAAACGACTGGTGAATTTAGACCAGCTAGAAGAGGGAGATGCGTGAGAACGCTAGGATCCTTTTTCGCCATCATGTCCCTACATTGTCACACAAACTTGCCCACACTTCCAGACCGCCTCGGCCGTATCTAGACTCACAGCTAGTTCCTGATTGTCCCTCTAGCGTTGTGGACTACGCTTCAAAATTGGGCATAAATCAAAAATATCTGCAAGAAGCTCACTGCGACACACTGCTGCAGGACTATAACCAGCCAATTACTCTTAAGAATTCAGATCACAATCTTCTTTTTCTCTGCTCAGATTATAAGCCACTTTATAAGAGACAACCTGCATTAAAAAGAACTGTAAGGAGATGGTCACGGGAAGCTGAAGAAGCCCTGCAAGGTTGTTTTGAGGCTACAGACTGGAATGCACTGTGTGCCACATGGAGAGGGCATCAATGCAATGACTGAGTGTGTGACTCACTCCATAAACTTTTGCGTTGATAAAACCATCCCTAAAGTGGAATGCTACCCAAATAATAAACTGTGGATCACAAGTGATTTGAAGGAACTACTCAAAACGAAAAAGCAAGCCTTTAAGAAGGGAGACAGCAAATTAATGAGGAGTATACAGAAGCAACTTAAGATAAGAGAAAGCAAGGAGGCATATAGGAAAAGCTTTAAAAACAATCTCCAGCAGATAGATATCAGAGATGTGTGGTCAGGCATGAATAAGATAACAGGGTGATTCAAGCAGAAGGACGATCAGTCAGATGGAAGTCTGGTCAGACCCTATGAACGGAATAAATTCGTCAGCAGATTCCGTTCAGAAATAAGCTCAGTATCTGATCTCTTCATCATCTGCTGGGGTAACAGCATCAGAGCAAATGGCTGAAAGGAGCTCAACCAGCCGATAAAGAAGGTCAGCTCTGTTATAAGAACTCCTCTGGAGATTGTTTCACAAAGAAGGATTCTTCATAAAGTGAAGAAGATCATGGACAACAGTGAGCATCCTCTTCATCAAACTGTCAAACACCAACAGTGTCTTCAGTCAGAGGCCTCTGAACAGCCACTGTAGACAGACCACTACAGAGGCTCCTTTCTGCCTACAGCAGAAAGAAACTATGAATTACTGCAGCAGTTCTCCCTCTCAAATAAAGTGTTTTAAATTGAATTCTCATTATTCATCTCAAACTGGTCTGTTGGTTCCGACCGTTTTGCTGCTCCTCTTCTGATCCGAAATCCCTGAAACCATCTCAGATGTTCTGAGGCAGCAGAAACATCTCCCTGCTTTTAGATAAACAGATCATTTCATCACAGCTTGACGTTAGAACATTCCTGCAGACAGACATGTCCAGACTGAAACTGGAAAAAAAGTTAAACAAACATCTCTGCAGGTTGAGATCCGCCAGCAGCTTCTCCTCAGGTTCTGCTCGCCGCAGTAGGAAATCAGTCACTTTCACCGCTGGAGGTAAGTTTTAACAGGACTTTGGTTCCAGGTTAATAAATGTTGGAGCTTAAGCAAAGTTTTTTATTTATTAAAGTAATAAACAATTTTTCAGGTACATTCTGCAAAATAAATCTCTATACATGTAAATCAATGCAGCTTTTGATTTGGCATTTACTGAATCATATTTAGTTACTGTAACACAATTGTTTTATGTCCTACCCTGTTAACGTGAAACAGTTGTGATAAAAGTAACTAAATATGATTAAGTAAATGCCAAAAACGGTTGCATTATTCTTTTCAGTGTAACTGAGATAATTTCTCAGAAACCTCACTGCGTCATATCAACTTTTCATATTTCCATTGTTTTCCTGCTCCTCTGTGAGGTCTGGTTCCAGACCTCAAACAGAAACAGAAATCAGTTTAATGCAGCCTGAACACCCGCCTACCTCCATGCTCCTCAGCCAATCAGCACCCTGTATGTCTTTATTACTATGTAACTGCTGGTTCAATCATCTTAACAGACAGATCTTCGGGTCTTCAAAGGTTGAAGCCTTTGACTTGTCAGAGAAGTGTTGCTCAAACACAGGAAGCAGGATTTCAGTCCAAAGGCCACATGTCATGAGGACCAGCTGCAGAAACAGGAAGGAGCATTTCTCCAAGGTTCACAGCTGCCTTTGTTCCATTGGCCTCATACTAGACCCAGTGTCAGAAAGTTAAAAATGAAAAAAACCAAATGTCCAGGGATTCAAAGGGAAATGTTGAACTCCTGTCACATTAAAGAAGCAGCGTTTTTGGTTTCATGTTGTCTACAGTTTTATTAAAGTGAAATAAAACAAAAACCTTCAACATTTAGAGCACTTTAACACCCTGATGATGTTTCTATTCCTCTATTTGTCCTTTAGTCTTGAACTTTTTTAAGTTTTGTTTAAATTACTTTTTTATATTAGGAAACCCTTTTTCACAATTCCTACAAAAACTGAAGATTTTTTATTTATTTTATTTTCAATCATTTATTTTAGGGCTAAATGTAGAGCGGAGTCGCCCTCTGGTGGAGACTGGGCTGTATTACATACAGACAGCTGGACTCAGGAAGGAAAGCTTCTGCAGTAGCAGGCTACATACAGTAAAGATTTGTAAATAGAGAGGAGGACTTCCTCTGTTCCTTTGTTCTCCTTTTCCATAAATAAAAACTGTTTATTAGTTTTTGCCTGGATTTTCCTTTTTTTACCTGTATCACTCTTACTTTTTTCCTCTGATGTCAGACTAACTTCTTAAAAGTTAATCATCTGTATGCCTATGTGTTTTCAATTCTTTTCTGTTCTCATGTAGAAACTTGAAAAATTAGAGAGAGAAAAGGTGGACATTGAGGAAGACAGAAGAGAATAAAAAGAACAGGATCATTAGCTCAGTGCCATCAAGTCTCATTAGTTTTAGGATTAGGCCATAGAAATTAATAGAAAGTCCCCACAAGAATAGTGACACCACTTAATTGAAAAGAAATGCAGGTTTAAATGGAAAAATCCAATTTTTTAAGTTGTTTTTTATAAAGAGTTCCTCAATTTCCCTAAGTATTTAGTCCTTTAGACGTCCTGGATTACAAACATCAATTCATCAAATGAATCCCTAAACCAAGTAGTTTAACTGTAGTTATGATTTCTTTGGCTTTAATTCACTGGATCCCATGTTTTTTTACTTGGTTTTCATCTGATTCTAAGCCTCTCTAAGCTTGTAAAGTCTGGTTCAGTGGGTACAGGAGGGTCTTTCATGATTTAAAGTTCCGACATCTTTCCACCTGCTGTGGATCTCCATGCAGTGAGACACAACCACTGGCTCTGGATATGCAGTCATGTTTCATCCAGACCTTCTGTCATGAGCCCAACAGATTAAGGCTGCCAGAAGTTGTAGGCCATTACATGCTGTGTTTCTGAGGGGCACGAGCTGGAGTATTGATCCCTCATCATGAACTTTGTGGACTGGTGTGAGAAGAACCATCTGTGTCTCAACACCACTAAGACCAAAGAGACGGTGATCGACTTCAGGAAAAGACCCCACCTCACTCTCGTGAACATCAAGGGGCAGGACATAGAAACTGTGGCGAGTTTCAAATACCTGGGTGTTGATGTCAATAACAAACTGGACTGGACTCATAACACTGATGCCCTGAATAAGAAGGGCCAGAGCCGCCTCCACTTCCTGAGGAGGCTGAGGTCCTTTGGACTGAGCAGGCCCCTGCTGAAAACCTTCTATGACTCTGTGGTGCCATCAGCCCTCCGCCACACTGTAGTCTGCTGGGGCCCCTGGCAGCGCAGAGCGGGACAGAAAGAGACTGAACAAACTGGTGAGAAAGGCCACTTCTGTCCTAGGCTGCACTCTGGACTCAGCGAAGGACGTGGCTGAGAGGAGGGTGGTGTCCAAGCTTCCATCCATCCTGGACAACAGCTTCCACCCTCTGAACCAGACTGTAGAGGAGCTGATCAGCTCCTTTAGTGAAAGACTTTTACACCCTGTTTGTAAAAAGGAGCCCTACAGCAGGTCATTCATCCCTGCTGCAACCAGACTCTACAAAGCGACACTAAAACAGCCATAACCTGTGCAATGTATGTCTAATTCACCATGTGCAATAACCTGATTCTCTTTATTTGACACCCAGCGCAAAGCTACATATATAAATATAAATATCCATCTATATAAATACCCATGTAAACACCTAGAGCAATAACCCTGTATAATGATCCTACTGTATAAAAATAAAAAAAAATTTAAAAAAAACGCTGTCATGTGTGGACGCATTGTATATACTGTATATATCCCATGCACCTTTTTCTTCCTTTGGCACATTCTTCTTCTTTGACTTATTGAGCTGATGGAATGAGTATATTTCTACACTGTGAGATCAATAAAGTCAGTCAATCAATCAATCAATCAATCAATCAATCAATCAATCAATCAATCAATCATCAATCAATCAATCAAATCTGGTCCAATCCAAGATAGTTCTCTGTTTCTAAAAGCCCAGAGAATCTTCTGTTTGATTCAGGGATTAGAATGATAGAGAGGAACAAATGGATTATTCCTCAGGATCCCTGAAGGTTTTTGTTAAAAAAAAAAACAGACCCACTCATGGTCAGACAGCAGAAACACAAGAAGTTTGTGCTTGATGTTATTGTCATGTTTATTGTGATATTTGATGACATACAAAAGATTTCCTTTTTTGGATTATCTCAGGATTATTCTGTCAGATTAGCATGATCCAACCGTGTTTCAACATGAAAAACTAAGTCAAATATCCTCACAACCATCTGCTGTCAAACAGCAGAAACCCCTCCTAGGACCTGCTAAGAGTCTGTGTGTGTGTGTGTATGTGTTGGGGTTGGGGGGCTTTTCACTTCTTGGGAACCGAGTGTCCTGGTGGGGTCTAATGTCTGGTCCCCATAGGTCCAAATTGTGTTTTAGGCTTAGGCTTTGGGTTTAGAACTAAGGTGCAAATTGAGTTTAGGTTGGGGTTAAGGGTTATTATCAGAGTTAAGATAGAAAGGGTTGGAAATGATTGAAAATCAATGGAAGTCAACTCATGGTCCTCACTACATATAGCGAGACTAGAATTATGTGTGTGTGTTTGGGGGGGTTATATTGTCAGGTCTTTGGGGTTGACCACCTTCCCGATGAAGAGCAGTGCTCCTGACGGTTCATCTCTGATCAGGTAGACGAAGGGCCGATCCACTCGGTACGTCAGGTGAGAGGCCACAGAGCCGCCACTGGGGTACTGGGTTCCCTCCGGTGCTGTCTCCATGACAACCTTATGGTTGACACTGGTGAGTTTGGCCGGCTGAACAGAGATCTTCTCCAGTTCTTGGTTTTCCAACCACTCAGAGAGGCCTGCAGGAATGAATGAGGGGAAGAAGCTTAAACAGTGACTGGGTTTGGTCTGGTAGTTTCAGTGATCAGCGAAAGAAACACCCAAACATTAGAATCTACTCGGATCTGCTACCCTATGCTTTGCAGAAGGGTCTCTTTATGTACTTCAGTCAGTGTGAGATGGTAAAAACTAGGATCGGAGATTAAAAAGTCAGTCGCAACCAGTTTTAGTAGGCCAAGAACTCACTGAAGGGACTAGAAGGTTGTATTCTCAGGGTTACCTTTAGGTGTTGATGATGTTCTGGTTCTTTTTGTTACAACAGAACTGATCCTATCTAAAATGGGTGCCTATGAAATAGAAATACTTCATTAATCACTTAACTTAAATGACTTACGTTTGTCATCTTTAGCACATTAACAAAATTAGAGAAAGTTGGTCATTTCAAAAGCCAAGATGTCCTCAGTGACTGGGAAAAGTAATGGTAAAGTCATAAGTCAGCGGGCTCTTTTCCCAATTCCACAGACCTCCAAACAGAGCTAACTGTAGCCAGCACCATGCTGGTTTGTTCTTAGCTGTTTTCTTGTTTTGATAAAGAACTGATGGAGTTTGTGCTACAGCCCAGCACTGAAACTAGACAAGGAGAGAGAGTTACAGTATATAATTTAATAGATAGGTTATGGCACAAAGAATGAACCACTGGCCCGGTTCTTCCACTGATCAATGCAGACATCCAAAGTTCCGAAAACTCATTTCAGGGAAGCTTACTGAACCCATTGAACCAGTGCCCGCACCATGCCCCATACATACACACTCATCATTCTTCACCTTCACTAGACGTGGATATACTTTAGTAAATTCTGCTGTAAAATTAATCTTATATTTTCATTTTCCTTCATTTCACACGAAGCACAGCTTCGAGTGGTAACTAGGTGACTGTCAGAGAGTAAACCGAAACTTATTGGCTTATTTTTCTAACTAATTTAATCAGCGAGCTCTCTGACAACCAGTCGCCTGGATCGCTCTTTGAACAGAACATCGCTTTGGATAGATACATACAACCTCCTCCCCACACCCCCCTCTCTCTTGTTGTTCCTGCGCAATCGAAGTAGTTCTAATCCGCACATGGTGCACAAATTATTGTATTGCCTGCACGCTCTCACTCTCATTTAAAAACACCGCCTTACATGGTGTAAAATCCGGGATAATTTATCTGACTCACGGGCATCAGTGAACAACTATCTATATCAGCGAGACTCCCGGAACTTCTGGGAGACTGGGAATGTCTGTGATTGAAACATCACTGTTGTTCTACTGATACACTGGATATTAATCGTTTAAACTTCTTCCTCCTAACTAGATACCTGACACAGTGACACCACAGCCAAATCAGACGTTGGGGAAGGAAGGGAAGTCTGTTTGAGGATGAAGACTTTGTGGATATGATGAAACAAGCCAACAAAGGTTTAATGTGCACAGTGTGATATATGTTACAAAGAAGACTAAATTGGGAAGGCAATGACCAAATATGATTAAGACTAAAAAAGATTTTTGTCATTGTGACTAAGTCTAAGACTAAGACTAAATTAAAAAAGCTGACGAAATTAACACTTCTACCAACACTGCTGAACATTGTTAATACTTTTAAATAGGACAATCAATGTCCTACTGCATTTTGCACCGTATTTATTTTGCACTGCACTGAACTTTAACATATTAGTTCCCTTCTGCACCATTATTTTAAACTATTTGGGGTTTTTTCTCCTACATTGTTACAATCTGATCACTGCTGCACTTTATATTAGTAATGTTTACCTTACTCCAACTGCAATATTATTACACTGTTGTAAGCTGTATGCAATGAAATTTCGTTTTCTATACATAACATCCGCCCTTGGCATCTTCTACAAACCTGGAGATGAACAGTAGATTTAGAGAAATTTCACTGATAGAGTTGAAATAAAACCTGTTTTAAGGTCTTTCTGAGTTTAATCAGACTCACCAAGGTCGCTGAGTAGAGGCAACAGGTCTGTGGAGTAACCGAGTTTCAGGATAGGCAGAGTTAGGGAAACCCGAGCAGGCTGGAGCGCCATGGACAGGTCCTGAACAAACTCAGCCGTCAGACTCTCCTCCAGCAGGGTCGTGTTGGTCGTCACCTCATGAGGCAAGAAGATGAACATGCTGATGTCGTTCTGCATCTGGATCTGTGTGACCTGCAGGAGGAAAAGCCAAACCATTACTGCGACCCCTTTAAAGACCATTCCTCTGGTGTGTTAATCAGAACACTCACAGTGCAGCTTAGGTCTGAGTCTACTCCCATCTTTACAGGGTAGTTATCCTGTTGCATCATGGGAACACGAACTGGAGCCCCGTTTTCCACCTGGAAGTTCTCCAGAGCTCCACTCTGACTAAAGCGAGTCACCCATCCCCCTGTTCAAAGAAAACTCAGACTTCACTTCATTTTCCAACAGTTTATAGTGAAAACCCTTCATGTTATTCTTCCAATAGATTTTTGGATCTTTAACACACAGGAAAAAAGTGATTGAATGAAGACACATGTACGCTGGGTCATCTGTGTTGTAAAGAGAATCCCTGATATCTCAGATAACAGCATTATGTGTCAACCAGGCATCTGCTAGAAAACAGTCTAACCCCTAAACACCATGAAGGTCAACTATTTTGACTTTCTGTTAGATGCTTTGTTGAAAGCTTCCTACAACTTCTAAACCCACCACTGATGCCCTCTGTGGTGGCCCCTCTATCTCATTGCATCTCCATCTGTGGTATGTTCATGGACCATGTACTGTACTTCTTTTGCCTCCTACCCCTACCAGAACAGAATTTTATAATCTCTACAAGCTCAGTTGTAGCCTAGATGTCTATCAAAGAGCCTCCATGCTTCAGTTAAACGAGATTTTCTATCACCTTCATGAAGAGATGATACCTTTGAAGTAAGCGGCTGTGACCGCATTGACACCGGCGGTTCGAGGAAAAGCATTGGTCAGGAACTGCTGGACCTTTCTGCCTGTCTGCTGAGACACCCAATCATTGACTTCCTTCAAGTCTTTGGCTCCTCCCAGTAATGTTTTCGGACGAACTCCGTACTGTTGTTCCACCAGTTTGAAGTAGTCCTGCTTTAGTCGAAGCCCTGAGAAGCAAAGGGTTGATGGTTCAGCTCCATGTGCAGACTGGCATAAAGATTACTGATGGTTCACTTCGTAATCATAAAGCATAATTACACAAAACTTTGGAATTCAAAGAAAAACAACAATAATAAAGAGAATTTTATTACACTAATTAGTCAGAACATTATGACCAGACACATTTTTTTTCACAGAAGTGAAAAATCTCAGACGTTGGGAGTACATTGGCACCTAACTGTAGGACAGGTAATGTAAAAGCTAATAAATGTTCTGATTGTGTTAAACAGCTTTTACATGAGCCAATGTTTGATTGGTGGCCCAGAATTTCTCCAAAGCTGTAGAACTGTAGTACATTGCAGGTCTGCACAGACTAAATCTTCTGAAGTGACCAAAAAGTCCAAGACTCGATGATGGACAAAGGCCAGTGGGGGGCCCATTCTTTTCCATGTGTTGCCTGAGTTGGAGCCTAGGATTGTATCAGAGTCAAGGTCTCTCATCACGGTGCCAATGGCTCCAAGACAGTGATGGTATGAGGTTGGTATCCTTTTCTCCTACCTCTTGTTGGAGGCCCCTGTGGAGTTCTTTCTATTGGCAGCCGAGTAAGTCTTGCTCCCAAGGGTTTATCTGGTCCTGGGCTTGGGGATGATGGTGCCCTTTATATCCCTCAGAGTCTCTCTGACCAACAAGTTGCTGTGCCCCACTGGTGTCCTACTTCTGGACGCACTGGTATGATACTTTGTGTCTAGGGGCCAGGGACTCCTGCAGGCTTTTAAAGCCAGGTCTTTCTACCCTTTGCTGCTTTAAGTTAATGTGGACTGCAGGCTTTCTACTGACCTCATCACACTTAGAAACTGCCCACCACATACACCCACTCAACACAAACCAAATTATTTATACACAAATGCCCAGACTCACACCCACACTGTCTTGATTATCCTTTTTTGTCCATAAAAAGCTTCCCTAGTTATGGAGGTATTCCGTTTTAATTGAGAGCAATATTTTGGTCTTTCATTTTATCTATAAATGGGTCTTTGATTTATGTTATTAATTGCAAAATTCCCAGCAATTATACAGGTTCAGTAAATATGTGTCACACATAATGTTTTGATCACACTTGTCTTTGGTTATTAAAGTCAGTCTGTAGAAATAATCCTTTGTACAAATAATTTGTAAGGAGAATATAAAAAGCGATACGTAATCATATGGTGGGTTCATTGTGTGCAAAAGGGGGTGTTAGAGTTCTTGTTCTGTTATGTTTTTTCTGTTGCATGTTCAGTTTTGCTTTGCTCCTTGTTTTCTAGTTGTTTATGGTTTAATTCTTATTTGATTGTGTTCTTTGTTTTTTTTTCTCAGTTTCTGTCTTAGTCTTGGTTCCGTTATGTTTTCTTTTGAGTGTTCAGTTTTGCTTTACTCCATGTTTTATAGTCTTAGTGGTTTATTCTTATTTTGTTGTGTTTTCTGTTTATTTTCAGTTCTCAGGCTTTTATTTGTTGCCCTCTGCTGCCCTCTTGAGTTCTCCTTTTTTCCCTTGCCCCTTTCTTGTTTCTACTCTACTCACACCTGCTCCTAATCTACTCGTTAGTCCTCTCCTTGTTTCAGTCCCCCCTAAATACTCTCTCTGTGCAGTTCTTCAGTGCTGGTTCCTCGTCAAACTTCCTCCCACTCCGTCTCTCTGAGCCTTCCACCTTGTGGTAGTTATCCCCCTGATGTCCCATGGTTACTGGTTCGTTTTTATTTGTTTTTCTTGTTTAGATTTTTGGACTCCTGGTTTCCTGTTAGTTTGGACTTTGTTTTCTTTTTCGATTTTTGGATTACCTGCCTCTGTTTTCAGTAAACCTTCATTAAATCACCAAGAAATTCACCTGTCACTGTCTTCCTGCTTCTGCTTTTGGGTCAACAATCCATAACCATCCATAACCAAATCCTGACAGGGGGAGGCTACAAAAATTGATCAGCCCCAGGTCCTCTAGTCAGGTTAAATTGGCCCTTTCCGTCGAGACACCACGGCCACTGCAGCCGTTAGGCAAATCATTTTCCAGTCCCCCAGTATTTATAATAAAATGTTATCCATTCCAACCCCTGAATCATAATAATTCACCAGGTCCTGATGGTGTTAGCCCCAGTGTCCTGAAGGCCTGTGCAGAGCAGCTCTGTGGGACTCTACAGGACCTTTTCAACCTTGGTCTGTCCCAGGAAAAAGGTCCTGTGATATGTAAGGCCTCCTGCCTTGCTCCAGTACTAGAGAAGACTGTTGCCCTGATATCCCACATCATGAAGGTCCTACAGAGACTTCTGTTAGTTCACCTTTGCAAACAAACAAGCAGCTATCAGGACCCCCTGCAGTTTGCTTATCGCCATGGAGTTGGAGTTGATGAGGTCATCTTACACTTGCATGAACAAACCCACTGTCATTTAGACAAGGCAGACAGCACTGTGAGAATAATGTTCCTTGATTTCTCCAGAATATTTAACATGATTCAAAAATTCCAGAAGACTCAGATGGAGGCATCAACAATCACCTTTATCAAAGACTGCCTGAGTAACAACCACAGTTTGTTAGACTGAAGAAGCAACTATCTAATCAAGCAGTCAGCAGCACAGGAGCACCTAAGGGGATGGTTCTCTCACCATTCCTTTTTTTTTCTGTACATGTCTGACTTCCTGTCATCTGCAGAAACACTCAGATGACCATGCAGTCATTGACTGCATCAAAAATGGACAAGAAGCAATCATCTGATCCTGAATGTCAACAAAACAAGGGAGATGTTTGTAGATGCCACCACCCTGCTGCTTACAACAACTGATTTAAATGATTAACTCACGTCGTGTTATGTAGAGCCGTGCAGCCGTCTTCAGGCCTTTCCCCGAGGCCTTCACTGAAGCCAGCAGCTCCTTCAAGGTGTTCTGGAACTGAGGGTCCTGTAGAGTGTGATAGCGGAGGGCCCGGTATAGCTGCCTCTGGGCACTCTCAGAGCCCCCTGCAGGACAGGAAGGGAAGTGGTAGGTTGCTGATTATAAAGTTTGTCTCCTTCAGAGGAAGAATTAACCCTGATGGTATTTCTACGGTGACTGAGAGGAAACATCCAGATAATTTAAGCTTAACAAAGGCAAATGGTTTTAGGCTAAAGGTTTTTTATAATAACATCATCTCAGCATTTTATCTTAAACTGGACCAGCCCACATTTATGACACGGCTTGATGGTCATTTTTTAATAGCAGCGGAAAAAGCAAACTGGTTTCCACCTAGTTAGAAAAGGTACACACTCACCCATAGACAACTGGGTCAGAACCGCCGATACACTGATGGGAGACAGGAAGATGTTGGCCGATGTGTCGCGACTCGACAGAGCCCGGAAAAGGTTGTAGCCGAAGTCTGAGGTGGCAGCGCCCATCTTCGTCACTGGTGTGGTGAATAGCTCCACATGCTCCTCCTCCACAACCTCCGCCTCACCCTCTGAATCTGACTGGAAGGATAATATGACATAACCATAAATATGAGCCAGTACAAATCATCAAACCACATCTCTGAGTTCAGGTCACCGGATGCCTGCTGCTTAGTTAAAAAAAAAAAAAACAGTTAACCCAGAAGAGACAGGAACATCCCTTCACCCTAACTTCCAGCGAGGATTCTTCTGGGTCTCCTTGTTTTAAACTGGGTTTTATGTTCACATCAACCTGAGGTGCATCATGTACAACAGTCAACTAAATTCTAAGGTTTTTAAAATAATTAAAATGAGTTATAATGGAGGACTTTACAGCTTCTCCCTTCCCCCAATTCAGTTTATTTACAAAGCACCATCTCAGGCACTTTACAATTCAACCACATCAAACAGTCAAAATGATTCTAAGGAAAACCAGCCGACTGCATCGACTCATTGGCTCAAAGGCAATCCCTCACACAAAGCATGCTTGTAGCGACAGTGTAGAGGAAAAACTCCCTTTTAACAGGAAGAAACTTCCAGCAGAACCATCAGGGATAGCATTAAACATGGAAGGTGGCTGGGTCTTCCAGCAGAAGACTGTTTCAAGCACACCCCTCAGTCAACCAGGGAGGAGCTCTGTTAAAGCATTTCAAGGTTCTGGAGTTGCCTAGCCAGTCTCCAGACCACAACCTCTTAGAAAATTAGTAGAGGGAGTCAAAAATCTGTAATGCATTGCTGCTCCAGGGGAAATCTGATGAAGGAATAGTCAAAGATACCAGATACAGCGCGAGGAAATCAGGAAAAGACGGGCGATTGGCCTTTGCCATTCCAAACAAAAGTTATTAACAAAAGTTAAGTATTGAGTTGAACTTTTTCATTACTTATTTGCTGGTATAATTTACAAAGACTTCCTTTGTAATGGAAGTCTGCCATGTGTGGATTTCTTTTTGTCATAGTTGAAGCTTACCAGTGATGACAGACCTCTATCATCTTTCTAAGTAGGAGAAAACGCACTAACAGTCACGGAATTAAAACTGTAAATCAGAACCATGAGTGGTGCCTTTGGTAAGAAGCGCATGTACTACCTGCGGAGAATGAGGAGAGCCCACCTGCCCCCACCCATCCTTACAACCTTCTAAAGAAGCACCAGAGAGAGTGTGGTGTGGAGGCTGCAGCGCCTCAGACTGGAAGAAGGTGAGGAGAGTGGTGAGAACAGCAGAGAAGATCTTTGGGGCTCCTCCTCCCTCCATAAAAGACATTTCATCCGAGCGCTGCGTGTCCCGAGCCCGTAACATCATCAATGACCCCCCCCCCACGTGTGCTGCCCTCTGGGAAGAGGCTTCGCAGCATTTGATTCAGGCCAAACAGGTCCTGTAACAGCTTTTCCCCCACTGCCCTCAGACTGCTGAACTGTTGAAAAAAAACTCTAAATCATGTCACAAACTCTGCATCACACTGATAACACCAAACCAAAAATACTGCATATATGCAACATATATATTAATGCTCTGAACTTCCATATAAATATGCTTTTGCACCATGTTTTTTTTTCTCCCACAATGTTTATGTTTGATCTAGGCTTGTCCCGATCCGATCCACGTATCGGATCGGACGCCGATATTGGCAAAAAAATGCGTATCGGCAAAGCATGTAAAAATGCCGATCCAGTTTAAAAAAAAAAAAATCCGGTCCTTA